ACTGGAATCAGGCTCACTTCCACACAAGACAAACCCCAACCACAGCTCACAGCTGGGTGGGGACGCAGACGTGCAAACGTGAGCGAGATGCTACCGGTGCCAGGACAGCGAGAAGGGTTTGCAGGAGAGCCGGCAGCACCCGGGCTGAGGCTGGCAGGGAGGGTCAGCGGGATGCTGGTCTCAGGCCTCCCTAAGAATAGCAAGGACGTGGGGACATGGGGGGCTTGCTGCTGGTGGCCCCTGCTTCCTACCTGCACTTCCTAAGGGTCTGAGGGGGCAGCTGGTCGGCCTGTGACCCGAGTGTGTGGCTCAGGGCCGGCGGGAAGCACACGGACGACACGGCCACCAAAGGGCACACGTACCTTCCCCTCGATGCCAATGCCGCAGTCCGCCATCTGGATCATGCTCACGTCATTTCCTCCGTCACCTGGCCGCACAGAAGTGGGAACGACACACACGTGGAAGCCCATCCCGGTCTCTTCCACCAGGAGAGGCCGTCTCCGAACACCCAGCTCCACCCACTGCTCCACGACAGACCGAGCTGCCGCGGCTCTCAAGACCCTGTCTCTCCCGGCCCACCCGCTCACGGGCCAGGCACTCACCGATGGCACACGTGCGTCTCCCCGTGTGCTGCTGAAGCAGCTTCACGATGTGGGCTTTCTGTGTGGGCGAGCAGCGGCAGCACACCACGGCTGGGCACTGGCAGGCCAGCTCCACCAGCTCGTGCTCGTAGAACTTGAGGCAGACCTGGGGGACAGAGCCTCGTGAGCACGGCCGCCCACCACGGCCCGTGGGGCGCGGACAGCAAACGCGGGGGAGACACGACAGCCTCGTGCCAACGCGTGGGGTACACGCTGCCCGCGCCCTCCACCCCAGCTGTCGGCCACCCCGCCTGGCTGGGGAACCAGAGCTCACAGGGACACAGAGGCGGCAGGGGTGAGGAGGGAGGAGAGACCAGTGTGGAGGCCCCTGTGGGAGGAGCAGGGCGCCTGCACAGACAACTGTCTGCGTGGACGGGCAGCGTGTGGCGGTCGGGGTGCAGGTGGGGACCCCGCGTCTCACCCGGAGCGCCACCACGGACCGGAGCAGCTCCGCATGGGACTGGTGAGCGCCGCCTCACCTGCGTGACTGAGGTGGGGGGGGTCCCACCACAGAAAGCCTCCGCTTCGTCTGTCTCTTTTTGGGTGACCTCAGCCCCACCTCTGCTAACTGAGATCTTTTTCTCATCTTTAATATAAGACACTTCGTTTTCATCCTGAATCTCCAACTCTGTCAGCAAAATAAAACCCCCCAAAGTTGCCTTAGACCATGGGGCCCCCCGCTGTGCGGGACGTCCCGTCAGAGACCTGGGTCGAGACCTCCCGGCACCAGCCAGCACTGACAGTCGCGCATCTGCAGGGGACGGGGCCGTGCGTCTTAGGACAGGCGGTGCGCCCGCGCCTGGTCTGGACGGACGCGCCCCCGGACCACACAGGGCCCCTCCGGGGCTGCAGACACTCCTCCCTGGGACCAGGACCAGGACAGCGAAGGGCTGCGTGCCCGGGCACCAGCAGCCACCTCCATCTTCTCTTCTCTTGCTCTCTGGTGGCCGGCAACTTGTGGCCACCTGTCCAACCCCCGGGACCTCACAGCCCCGTCCCTGTAGGATGTGCTCATACCGGCTGGCTCTCCCTCACTATGCCATGTTCCCTTTGCTCCGGCTTTCGTGCTCACGTTATGTTACCCCAACGGCCTACACGCATGTCCCGCTCGCCACCTGCGCCGTCTGCAGGGCACGGCAGACTAGGGAACAAAGCGACTACTGGGTCATCTTCAAGACACAAAGCCACTGCTCCCAGCCAACAGCTTTGCCCTCACTTAAATTCACATCAGCTCAGAAACTTCGTTCATAAGACAGGATAAACACCCAAAGGTCTGGTTTAGAGCCACATCCTCGATCGATTACAAACATCTCCTTCGACAGGCAGACCTGTGCACACCAGCGTGCGTCTTGGTCTCCCATCCCGCCAAGAACCCGGGTCACCCACGGCGGCCCGTGAAAGACACACGTGTGCGTGTGCAGCGGACGGAGGCCAATGCCTCCCAGCCGACCCCCAGAGGGAGCAGAGCGCCAGGGGCTGCAGCCACATGCCCTGCGCCGAGGGCCGAGGAGAGGCCTCACGCACTTGCTCCCCGAAACCGGGATGGCGCGCTCCGTCCCGACAGCAGGAACTTGTCAGATGAAGAAGTGGGGACAGAGCGTACTACCGAGATGATGCACAGAGGCATCGGAGACCCAGACCCAGAAACAGAAGACCGTGCCTTTGGGGAGCAGGCGCCAGGGAGGGAGGGGCAGGTGGGGGGCCTCCAGCATTGGGCTGCTGTGCCGACCGACTCTGATCTCTGGCGGGGACCAAAGCAGCAAGAAGGTTTAGCCAGAAACACACACTCATAAAAGACGGTGGACAGAACTCAAGGAGCGACTTTTGCTCCTTCACAAATCACACTACAACAGCTGTGAAGAGGGATTTTCTAACAAGGCACGAGGTCTAAGGGGGCCCGAGGGGAGGACGGAGGAGCACACGTCTGGGCCCTGGAAAGCCGAGGGACACGTGGTGAACGGCTGCACAGCCGGGAAAGCCTCCGAAGCTGACAGCGGGAAAGCCGGGCTCGGGGTGAGGCCCAGCAGCCCCAGCACCGGCCAGAGGGTCCAGGAAGCGTCCGCCCACGGCCAGGCCCACGGAGCCGCCCCGTGAGTCCGCGGGTTGCTCCGGCTTCTGCCCCTGCAGAGACAGGCTCTGCCTCTCTGACAGGCTCTGCAGAGACCAGCCTCTCCTGCAGGGACACAGACGGACGGACAGACAGACAGGTGCTTGGTCCGAGACCAGCCTCACCTCAAGGGAGTCCCCAGATATGACCAGCGCACAGTCATGCTTCCGTCGAAAGGCGTTAAGCTCCAAGTGGGCCTCTCCCCGATTGGTTACCTCCACAAAAAGAAGAAAAGCGCCCAAATTACAGAGTGATCTAAGTCGGAGGCACAAACAGCCCCTCTTTATGAATCAGTGAAATTTTCAGACACATTTAAAATCAAATGGAGCTTCTCACAGGCGGTCCAGTCCTGTAAGAAAAGGCTCTTGCGAGCTTCTCCTACGGCACCGGGAGTAAATACCTGCTCACTTAACACCAACTGTTTTCCAACGTGTGCCAGCTGCAGGCGGGGCACTTATACTGCAAAGTGCTTAAAGCCCTACAGGTACCGGGACATAAAGGAACAGAGGTGGGCCATCAGGAGACAGGGCACAGGGCACCCAGGGGCTAACAGCAATGTCGTGAGGGAGACACCCAGCTGTCCGTGGGGTATTCCCCAGAGACACGGTGATGCTCAGTGGCGGGGGGAGTGTCTGGCCCTTTCACAGGGGGCCACGTGCTGGGAGGGTGACCGTCAGCACAGGGACACAGCTTGTCAGACACTTCCGCGCACCCACCGCCGAGCCCAGGCCGGCCACGTGGCGGCACCGAGCTCAGGCCCAGGCTTCGTGTGAACTGCCCCCTCCTGTCCCCACTGCATGATGCACAATGTTCTTCTGAAATGCTTCTGCCGTCTCTGCCATGGGTTTCCACTTTCTCTGTCAGTTTAAGCAAACAAAGCATTCGAAGGATTAAAAAATCTAAAAGTAAAATCAAGTCATAATCTTGAAATATTGTTAGTTTTGGAATGAAAGCATTTCAGAAAGCACCATACTGGTTTCTGACACTCTTTCTGCGGAGCTTTTTACGGGGCGTAAAAGAAATGCTGCGCTGCAGGACAGCCGCGCGAGCTTCGCGTGGTCCGCATTAATCTCTGATGCCTCTTGAGGTAGAAAGGCTCTACTGTGGAAATTTCAGTTTGTGCAGCTGTAACCCCGAAACGTCGACAAACATTGATCTAAAGTCTTATCCGAGTCATTAATAATTTAATTGCGAAGAGTCGTCTGCAGGGCCTAATCTGCCATTCTGATGCTTTGAAATAAATGACATTTACATGTAAATTATATTGAAATCAGTTTCTGTAGGTACGAGGGCTTCACTCAGAGCAGAGGGAGACGGACCGTGTCTGCTCACCACCATCAATCAAGACCCGGGAGACGGCAGCTCAGTCTGAATTACAAACATCAGTCGTAACTAATACAGTAAAAACAGAAACTTCAGACCATTTTTACTAATTTTCTTTGAGCTAATGAAACAACATTTCATTTGAAAATGATAGATTAAAAACACATTCCTACTAATGGGTATAACTAATACAAAAATGTAATTTTTTTATCAACACACACTTTGTAAATGGAGCAGAAAGTGATAACAGAACGTCTATTCTAAAATAGGTACTTGGTTAATAAATAAATCCAATCGTACGACAGAAAAACACTCTGAATTTAGACTTTGTTTCACGCCTTCAAAATGCAGCTTTTTCATCCCAGGCAACGTGGGCAGCTAAAAGAAACCTATTTGCAATGTTTTTATAAAATCAGTAAGAAAATTACAATATTACAATATTTCTCTTCTTTAGTAATTATCTGCACTCAAAGCTTACAAGCACCCCCTCACCAAACCGAGTTTTGACTGCGAGATAAAACAGTTAAAATTCCAAGTGCTTTTAGACATATACTCACTGGCATGAAAACGTGAATGTCTTGTGTTCTAGACACCAAGTGTGAGCTTTTGGCGATGCACGTGGCAGTCTCGAGTTTATCGCCCGTTAGCATCCATATCTGGGAGGCAAGCGAAGATGGAGAACTCTTAGAAGTGTCCGTTCTCGAACACACAGCACACCCACGTTCGCAGCTCTACTGTTCACACCTGCCAAACCACAGAAGCCACCCAGTGTCCACGCAGGGACGGACCAGGACGTGGCATGCGCGCTGTGGAACAGCGCCCGGCCTTGAGAAGGGGAACATCCTGGCACCACTAAGACGTGGATGGGCCTGGAGGATGCTGAGCTCAGTGAAGGGCATCGGCCCCACCCGGGCAAAGGCTGTGGGGCTGCAGCGGGCGGAGGGCCATTGGGGAGTCACACCACAGAGACAGAAGCCAGAGGGTGGGCGCCAGGGCCAGGGGAGCACAGGGGAGCTTGTGTTTTCGTGGGGACCGAGGTTTGGAGTTACGTGTTCCGGAGAAAGGCAGTAGTGACGGCTGCACGGGGGTGGGAATTACTTTGTGACGATGAGCTGTGCACTTACAGATGCTTGAGATGACAAATGCTACGTTAGGTACATGTTGCCACTACCCAAGTCTCTGTCGACTTAGCGAAAACAAGTCGGACCTAAGTGATGTCAGACGGAGCAGCTGAGAAGTGGAGCCACACGAACGACAGGGGTTTAGGACCCTCAGCCTGAGGCTACTGAGACGCCTGCGTACACCCAAGGGCGAGGCTCCCAGAGCCCTGTGCACCGCACCGGTGGGCCCAGAAGACACCACGTGGTCACAGGCTTACAGAGCGAGGGGCGCCCCAGAGATCCTTATTCCAACCTGCTAACTTTTCAGCTGGAAACTAAGGTTCAAAAAGGGGAAACAGTTAAGCCAAAAACTGTCTTTATGAAATACATGGGAAATACCACTATTTTTACTTTTAGAAAGTGACATAAGCACGTATTACGTATATAAGCCAATCCCTGGACCACAAAGATAACAAAACCAACATTTAAGGTGTGACAGGACGGTTCACACAAATACTTCATGTAACAGCAAAGCCTTACAGTGACCTCTCATCGACGCCTGACTTGCTCAGACGTTTAGTGTGTCATACACGCGTGCCGTTCTGCACACAGGAAACCTCAGGGCGTACCGCTTTCCTGCTGAGCTATCATCTGCTTGTGGCTCTTCTCAGCGCTGGGAGACTTGTGCTTTCCCTCTGTTTCACACATCTATGTTCACCTTATTGAGCCTGATCTAAGGTTAGGACACGACGTTCAGATAAAGTTGAGAGGGGCGCCTGGGTGGCTCAGTGGGTTAAAGCCTCTGCCTTAGGCTCAGGTCATGATCTCGGGGTCCTGGGATCGAGCCCCACATCGGGCTCTCTGCTCGGCAGGGAGCCTGCTTCCTCCTCTCTCTCTGCCTGCCTCTCTGCCAGCTTGTGATCTCTGTCAGTCAAATAAATAAATAAAATCTTTAAAAAAAAACAAGGCAAAGTTGAGAATAATTCACACGAGACAGTAAGAGCTGCCGCCCCTGGTGAAGCTGCGTGTGGCTCAGGCGTGGTCACCTACGGACCTGCCGCCTGGAATCACAAGCTCACCTTCTGTGAAGGGACGTGAGGGGCCTTTCTTCAGACGGGAGACGCAAAGGAAGAAGGACGGGACCCCACACACTCGTGCAGGTTAGCAAACAACCAACAGAAACACCCAGACCGTACACACCAGGGCGCTGGCTGCTCAAGCACACGGGGCTGGGGGGCAGAGGGACGCGGGGCGCACGAAACGTCGCCACGAACGAGCAGCGGCCCCGGGCACGGCAGGCAGTCACACCCCTCCTCACCCGAACGCTGGCTGCGCAGCACAGTCCGGGGGACAGTGTCTCGAGGCCGAGGTGTGAACGGCTCTTTGGTGATTCTGAAGCCGGATGCGCCTCCTGACGGGCTGCTGTCCTGGACGGACGGGGCCCCCTCTCCCCGCCAGGCCCCCGCAGGGTACGCTCGCCGCGTGGGTTCTGGCTGCAAGCGCGGGCAGCTCCCCGGCAACGCCGTCCTTCCCTCCTATCTCACTAGCCTAGCCATTCGCTCTTCTTTCCTCTCGAAAAAACTCGAGCTGTGTTGTTCCCCTTCTCCAACCCGAGGCCCTAGTCCTCAGGGCAGCCTGGGGATACGTTTTCTCTCCCGTTTTGTAGGTGAACCCTGGGCTCCGCCGGCACGGAGGCCAGAACGCAGTTCCCTGAAAGCGAAGACTTACAGCCCCACAGCCCCGGGGAGGGCGCCGGCCGGCGCGCATGGTACCTTGATGCCTGCGTTGCGCAGCATCTCCAGGGTGGGCCGCACGTCCGCCTGCAGCTGGTCCTCCACACCTGTGAGGCACAGCAGCTCCATCTCCCACTCCAGGCTCTCCACCACCGCCGCCACCTTCAGAGCCCGGTCGTGGGTGCTCAGCTTGGCCTGGCTGTAGCGGCTCTGCACAGAGACGGAGCGCGGGTCACGCCGTGGACGCGTCCATGGGAGCCTGGCCAGGCCGGGGACACACCCTTCCCCGGCACCCGGGGCGGCAGGCTGTCCGCGCCAGCAGTGCGCACCCACGCCCATGCGTCTGCCGGGCAGATGCCCGAGGGCAGAGGGGCTGCGAGATCGGCTCACCTCGAAGTCCTGGTACTGCTCCTCTGTCAGCGCCCGCTTGGCGACCACGAGGGTGCGAAGACCTTCCCGGGCCATGTTCCCACACTGGAAAAGGAGATGCAGGTCACACGCAGACCCCAGTTGCTGGCCGTGATACGGAGAGGCACTTACAGCCTCCACCAAATCCGCTCTGTGGTCAGGGCCCGTCCCCTGCTCAGGAACCCCGCACATCATGTGTCCGTCACTGCGCCTGCGCACCTGGGCTACCTGGTCTCTCGGTGGCCTCCACCCACCGCCACCTGGTGGAGCTCACCTCGCAGGTGTGTCCTAAGAGCCCAGCCGCGCTGCAAGGACGGCTCTGCGACCCTCATCCCCGTGGCAGGCTGGGTCACCCGGCAGCTCTCAGACAAGCACACTTCTTCCCCACATTAGACCACACTGTTCCAAAATGGCATCACAAGCAAGGTCTACACCAGGCTGCCACAGCAGCATGGGAAGTGGGGAAGCTCGGTGCCAGGGTGTGAGAAGCAAGGTCTGGAAGTGGGAGAGCTTCATGTGGCAGTGCTGTGGGGGCAGGGGGAGGGAGAGGAGTGGGCTCACGTGGGAGTACAGCTGGGGGAGGACGGGGGAGAGTGGTCTCATGTGGCAGTGCCGTGGGGGGGGGGGAAGACCCCAAGAGTCCTGGGGCTTCGCGCTGGGGTTTGGATCTTCTGCAGGGAACAGGGCCCACAGCAAGGCCACAGGCCCAGGCTCGCGTTATTGAACACGAGACAGACGCACTCACAGGTGCGTGGAAAGGTATCAGCTCCAGGCACAGAGAATGCACCAAAGTAACATTATTTTCCATCCATTAGAGGAAACACTGGGCAGTTTAAGGTGATGATGGGGGGAGAACAGGCTGGTTCTGGGCCGCTGACGGGACCAGTGCCGAGCTGTTGGCAGAGAACAGATTGGTGCCCTGCCCTGCCCTCACAGAGGCTCGCCTGTGCCCCCCATGCGGGACGGGGCCCAGAGATGCTGACACGGCCTGCACGCGTGTGGATGGGCACCGAGGAGCGACACCTGAGGTTGTGCAGGCAGCGGCCCACATAGCCGGCAGAGACCGAGGCGGCGAGTGCGGCAGGAGCGGACGCCGCCTCTCGGGAGCTGTGAGTCCCCCCACCTTCAGGGACTTCGCCGTCTCCCTTGGGCTGCACGGATGGGACGCTGCCCCGCCGCACGAAGCCTGCTGAGGCCCTCAAAACGTGTGGCTTGGAAAGGTGTGAGCACTGCCTCTGCTGGCCGGGAGCACCCTGGGGGACAGCCGCTGTCTCACCCCGAGCACGAGCCCTGTGCTGGACCGGCGGGCAGAGGCCAGGGGTCCCGGGCTGGTCACCGGCCTCGACTCCGAGGTGAGCAAACAAGGCAGCGTCCCTGGCGCCACGCCCCAGAGGCCCCGCGGGAAGAGCAGGGGAAATGGAGAGAAAGTGTCCCGGGGAGGAGAGGCTGAGCGTGGCCGGCGGGGACAGACGCACAGACAGGAAGTCCGATGACCAGGTGCCACCCGAGCGGCGCCCAAGCTGCAGACGTCAACACCAGTGTTTCAGAACGGGGTTTCCACGAGAAAGAAAGCTTAAAAAACAATGTGAGCACTGAGCTATACCATTCCCCAAAGCCACGGTGTCCACACATCCCGAACACTACCACCAACCAGCCACGGCTCGCCCAGGCCACTGCGACTCCTGAGAGTCCCTTCCTCTCTTCCTGGGTGACTCTTAAATTTCCAACTCCGAGGACCAAGTTTAAATGGTTCAAAGCATGGGAGCCTGCACGGGCGTGGGACGGAGAGCGCCACAGTGGTCAGCTCTGGGCGTGGGGGGCTCTCAGGGCAGAGGCGGAGGCTCCAGCCTGGCTCACAGCCCTGGGGCGCAGGCGTCCAGAGCACTTTTAGCCAACACCAAGGGGTTCCGACAACAGCCAGAGCCGCGGTCTCCCGCGTGCACCTGAAGATGCACGCGTGACACTGGCACACCGTCCCGCGCCAGCGAGCTGCTAGTGGAAGGGAGAGGAACTACCAGGAAGCTCGCACACAGCGCGGCCCCGCCGTGATGCCAGCACCCAGCGCTGTTGCCAAGCCACAGGTAGAGTCACGGCCACGAGGGAGCCTAATATTTGCTGGAGTGCCCCACCTCCCACGCACTGAGAACGAGGCAGGAGTAGGAACCCCACATCGCCAGGGACGAGCACACACTCGTGGGCCAACAGTTCAGATGCGACTTCGCACACGCACTCGTGCCCTGCCGCCCTCCCGCACCGTCCCCAGGGGCGGAGGCTGGCGGTCCCACACGGCTGTGCTCCCGGTGGGGCGCTCGTGTCTAACCGAGCCCGTCTACCGCAGCTGCCCGCAGGACGTTAAAATCGGCGAAGAGAGGATGAGCAACTCCAACTTTCCAAGGTCCTCTCTGACCCATCTGGCTACGAGGTCGGAAGCAGGCACTCCGCCGCGGCTCCCGCCTCCCAGCGAGCGCTAGTCCCTGCGCCTGTCACACCCTCCCCGATCCCCAGTTCTGACCCGCGTTACACACCTGCACGTGGAGGAAGGAGGCCACGTACCTGACGCTTCCCGCGGCCGGGACCTGGCTACCTCACGTCTGTGCACAGTGAGGGTTTCTACAAAACTGGTCCTCACTGGGCGGGGTGAGGCAAGTGCCGGTGGCACGTGTCGGACGGTGGCACGTGTTCAGTACGTGGAGAACAGAAGCTCACGGCCAAGAATCCCGCGTGAGGAGCCTGCCTGAGACAGAGGCGCTCGGGGCACGCTCAGGCTCCCAAAACACGCCGCTGTTTTTGTGTGTTTGTTTTAAATAAGGTAAAGGTTTTCAGAAGATAATGGTTATTACAACAAAGACGTGGGTAGGGGATCAGGAGATTTATGTAAGGGAAGGAAATGTAACCTTGGGAGAATGCATGCACAAAGGATTTTTAATAAAGTTATCTTTGTGTAAAACAACCTGACATTATCTGTCTGTTGCAATACATTTATTGACGTGACCTCATAAAGCTAAATAAATTAAACAAGTATTTTATAATTAATTGTACATCATTATGACCGAAAGTAATTTTTATGGCATTTTACTAGGTCTTCAGGGAATTTAATTTATTCATGTGCCTGATTAAATCCAAGTGCCTGAAGGAGCTATTGATTCGTATGGCCAATACCGCCGCGGACGCGGGGCTGCGGCTGCCGCACTGACCGGCCACACCCGGGCCACGGCAGGTTGACCCGTGGACACCGACGCTGACACACACCCAGATCAGTCTCCCTCCGAACTCAAGCTTTTCTGTTCACACAGAAACGTGGACAATAAAATAATCTCACGAGGCTGCACCTGAGTTCTCTCTCTCTAGAGAGAATCTGACGAAATGTAGGACTGATCACGTTTGTGTCTTTTCTATTTTTTTAAAGTGAATCCTACACCTAAATTAGAATGACATTAAAATCCTTATCAAAATCCTGCCAGTAACATAGATTACAAAATAAATATACTGGCTGTATATGCAGCATTACCTCAGAGTTTTTAATGAATGACTGTCACCCTGTTTTCATCGTACAGACAAGATACTATCGATAAGGACCTCCTTGCACACCGACACGCGTCGCACGCAACCCCGCAGCGGTAGCTGCTTACACAGAGCTGTCTGCGATCAAACGGTACTCCCGCCTTTCTACCTCACGAAACCGAGAGGAACCGGAACCACCGGACACTGCGGAAAAGCGATACCGTCGGTGGTTTAAGAGGCGGTGTCCGGATTTCTGCCGGTTGCAGTGGTTCCCGCACTTGCTGCGCGGCGGGAAGCAGTGTGCGGGGTGGGGGCGCGGCTTACCTCCTCCTCCAACCAGTCGTTGTACTGCACGATGGAGGACATGGCCGCGTCGGCCCCCTTCAGGTAGAAGGTGATTTCCGCAGTGGACTCATCCTGGGACAGAAGAAACACAGGCAGGTTTAGGCCACGCTGCTCCCGGGCAGTAACGGCCGCGCGCACAGGAACGCGGTTCTCCCTGAACCTATGCTATGCAGGGCACCGCCGCCCCGAGAAAGTGTGCAGAAAGTGTGCAGAAAGCCGAGACCGGAACGTAAACCAGATCTCCAGGTCCTGTGCTGAGGCCACGGCAACAGAGCCTGTCCACGGAGGGGACGCCTCAGGCCGCGAGGGGAAGGTAAATTCTCTCAAATTTTCACTGCTGACTGAACGTGCTTTCCTTGGTTAGCCACCTTCTGAGACAGGTTTTGGTATCTGCTAAAAATATTTAAGAAATGCATGTCAGCAACTTCCTGGTCCTAAATCCTCCTCCGGCGAAGCTCCCCGGCACGCCGCGGCTGTTGGAAGCGCGACAGACGGCTTGAGCTGCTTTCCAGGAATGAGTCACGGACACCGCTTCCTCACTCTGCCTTCGTCATCCGGGAGAGTCACCTGAACTCACTACCACCAGAGCCTCACTAGCTTCCCAGCACCAATTCCTAGATTTTGTATCAAAACCCAGCAAGCAGCACAGACGGTCTGAAAGAGCAGGGACGAGCCCTGAACCGCGTGCTGGCCCGTGGGAGCCCAACAGCCAGGCTACCCGCACGATGACGCCCATGCGCTTGCTCTCCGAGGTGAACGGGAAGGTCTGCAGGACGCTGAAGGTCAGGAGCTCGCCGCTGGGGCCCCGCAGCTGCATGGAGGCCAGGTCTCTGCTGACCAGGGTGAGGCCGACGCTCTCCGTCCACTGCACCAGGGCCACCTGGGGGAGACCGGGGACACGTGAGGCCGCATGAGCAGAAGGCGGCACTCCCTGCCCTCCCACCCCCCCCCCAGCCCAGCTCCTCCCGGGGCCCAGTGTGGGGCTTCCTGCGACACCAGGGTCTCTCCCTGGCCAAGCGCCGCACCCTTGCTGGAGATCTGTCCTCGCCTATGTGTCCAGCAGGTCCCCTAGGGCTGGAGAAAGCAAACGCTTCAGGAGCGCCCTGGGTTCTGTCTGGGGAGCAGAACATCACTGTTGAGCCCCAGCGTCCACTGCCAAGTCGCATGAGGACAGGCCGTGAGGAGGCTCGGCTCCGGCTTCGGGGCGTGATCGCCCAGGTCAACCGCACCCCAACTCCTCATCTGTAGGGCAGTGGCAGCCAGGCCGCCTCTCAGGCCACCAGCACACGAACACCACCGGGACACTCTGTACATCTGGGTCGAGGTTTGGGTTCTACCCTTCATCCTTTCCACAGATGCCACCTGAGATGTCCCTTGGGCAGACCAAGGATCTCTTTTGAAGTGGGGCTTTCTAGGTAGTTCCCGTGGCTGGAACTGCTGGAAGGTTCTAGCACAACAGTCAAACTGAGGGTGACGAGATGCTTGCTGTTTTTAATGCTTCCAACTTGACCAGGGCCGTGCTGTGGAGGCTGGGGCGTCTGAAGATAATAAGGCAGGAAAAACGGACGTGAAACACTTTCAGGTTTGGGGACTGTGGGCGCTCTGGAACACAGCCGAGGGCCTTACTCTGCACCATTCTGGGCCCTGCTGGCAAGAATGACCTCGGGACGGCAGAAACGGCCACGCTACATGGGGCTGGCTATGAAGGGATTTCCAACAGACCACGCGGGCTCCTTTACTGGGATGCCTTTACTTCCCCAATCGTGAGCATCTTGTAAAGGAACCAAACAGACACGTACGACTGTGGGTCTAGGATCGTAAAGGCTATTTACACGGCTTACAATCCCACTTTATTTTATAAATAACTCAACGCGTCAGAATTCACCTGGCAGAAGCTTCTCACCTAAAAAGTTTGCATAGGGAGTTAGCCCACAGTAGGGGATAGAGTAATTCCCGAAAAGCAGAACTGAGTCACTACCCTGGATTTCTGGTTCAGAGCCAGAGTCAGAAACGCAGTCTTACAAAAAAGGCATAAAGGGATCAAAGCCCCTTTCTCCCTCTGGCTCCTCCCCTCAAAGCCAGTCCCGTCCGCGAGGAGCAGACTGATAGTGGCCCGTCGTGGACGAGCTGCCCGATAGTGCCGCAGTGCTTTGGAGCTGGGTGCCTAAGGGGAGGCCCCCTAGCCCTCTTGTCCAGCCCCGCGGCCCCCGCCCGTCGCCGGGCATAGTCTGCTTGCTGAGGCAGGAACAGCTATGTGCAGTGTGCAGATTTTCCCTTTGTAGACGTTTCATTTAAATTAGTAAAATCATACTATTAGCAGACTTGTAAATTCACGACAGCAAATGTCACATACTACATCACAACGAGCGAGCTCCAACGGCGTGGAATGCTCATCCTGCTGGGGCGTCTCGGAGAGCGCCGTCCGCACGCCCTGGGCTAGCCCCGCCCACGAGGGCATTTGCACAGACGGCCCGGGTCAGGATCATCCCCGCATCTTGTTGAAGGGGAAATCCTGACACGGGGCCTTCTCTGCTGTGCTTACCTTGACCTTCTGTGTGCCTGGGTGGCCTGGACACTACCAGGTGTCCTGATGCAGGAGGTACCCGCTGGGTACCTGAAAGCACTGACCAGATTTGACAACGTGCTCAGCGGGCTGGGGACGCAGTTTAAAGAGCTGAGGCAAAACTCGTAACAAAAATAGGCCCAAACCCCCGAATCGGTACAGCGTCTGGGCGGGTCAGACCACGTCAGACGCGCCGGCTTTCCTCTGCTGCGCCTCAGGAGCCCGCTGTCCTAGAAACACTCGCCATCGGACCTTCTTACCTTTGCGAACGTGAAGCCCCACTCTCAGCGTGCAATTGACGCCTCGCCCCTTTTTGTGGGAAATACAAGAAATGGGCCAATTTTCACTTTTGTCTATTAGTTCTTTTAGTACGATCCCCCTTCCCGAGGATCAATTACACACACGGCAACGACCTGGACGCTCACGTCAAGTACCGTGGAAACCGCCGTCCAGGAATGACTTGCTGGCGGCTTTCATGTTCTGCCCGACACAGTGAGGGACCGCGGCGGCCCGGAGAGGCTCAGAGTCAGGAGAGCGCGCTGCGACCCCTCACCGCGCCGGGGAGTGAACGCGAGGCCAGAGTGTCCCCTGCGTCTAGGCCGGCGCCTGACTCTGCCCAAAGCCCGGCCTGCTGGGCCTGCGCTCAGCACGGGGAGGGACCCCGGGAGCGACCGCGGCACCGTGGGAACGAGCGGCCAACTGCACGTGGTCCGCACCATCCGTGTGCTTTCTGGAGCGGAGCTGGTCTCGTGGGGTCCCCCTGACCTACTGGAGCTGGAAATGAAGGTCGGCCACAGGGGGTCACCCGTGTCTACACGAATGACCTCCAATGAAAAGCCTGGACGCCAAGACTCAGGTGGGCTTCCCGGGCTGACAGCGTCTGTGACGTCGTGTCATTGCTGTGACAAGTGAGCGCTGTCCACACGACCCACGGGGAGAGGGTGACAGGGCGCTCATGCCAGGCCTCTCGGGGACCCTGGCCTGTGCACCTCTTCCCCTGGCCCCACCGGTCCTGTCGTGGAGGACGCGAGTCTGACGGCTGGGCACAGTCCTGCTCGGGGACACAAGGCTGGAAGAAGGTCCCACGGACCCTGGACCGCAGTATACGTCTGACCATGTGCAGAACACGTGTCTGCCAACTCCCGGGAGACTCCCCAGCTGAGCCTCCCCAGGGCCAGTGAGCCTGCCCAGGTCAGCAGTGGGAACGCCCAGGTCAGGCAGAGAATGGAAACGCCAAGTGGAGATGGTCGAGTGGTACTGGGCACAGCCTTGGCGGGAGAGTAAAAGAAAAAAAACTGCCTTTTGACTGGTTTGGGGATTTTTCACTGCTTTTTAAAACTGTGTAAAGCCATCTAGAATCGGGATGACCAGGGCCACAGGTGGAGACCATGTGTTAGACGCGGCAGAACTGAGCGCAGGTCGGCAGTCTTCCCACAGCAGCGAGGCCTCAGGCGGCCTGAGTGTTGTCAGGTCCCCACTCAGCACCACCCGGTGGGACAGCCCCGCAGTGGTGGGCATGTCCCCCTGCAGGGTGGTGGCCTCTGTGACTGACTGTGCCACCTGGAGTCGGGCATCCGTGGCGGCCTCCCGGGCTGCAGTCAGTGTCTGCTCCAGCTGGGTGCGGACGCTGCACGGGCGGGGGAGCCCCTGACTGCAGACCACCACCAGGAGCACTCCCAAGTGGCTCTTTTCTACTCCTCCCACCTGCACACTCTGCCCCGGCCCCGGGCTGGGTGGCTGGTTTGCAGGAACAGTAACATGTGGCGCCGTCTTGCTCCTGAGCAGAGCAGCCGGGTCAGATGTGAGCCTAGCATCCTGCAGGCACGTGTGCTGTTCAGCAGCGAGTCACCGTGCGGCTCGAAGTAGAACTCATGTTCTCTGGCTTTCCAGAGAGTTCCTAAGCTCCTGAGGTTTGCCCAGATCCTGAAACCGTGTCTGGCTAACACAGCGCTACGGTCTGGAGCTCCAGCAACACACTCGATTACAGAAGTATGAAAAGACACGAGGCCGTCACCGGAAAGAGCACAGACAAAAGGGGCAGGCCAACAATCCCACACCCGCTTCAGGTGGGACAGGACGGGCACACTGGACATACGTTTCCCGTAAACCTCGCTACGCACTGCAAACGACCCGGGACTCCCCAGGTGAATTCTGAACGTCCACAGTGAAAGGGGCCTATGACGTTCTGACCCTAAACTGGACGCTTCCGAGGACACGCCGCCACCCCCTCTGCGCCCCACCAGGCGGGTTCCGCGGTCTACGCGTGCGGACCCACATCTGTTGACTGTGGACTTCTCGGCCCGTGAAGCCGTCCAGTGGCTTACACCCGGCCAGCGCGCCGACTGTTCGCAGCCAGCACCGTTTCGAGGATGAGCTCTGCACAATGCCAAGCAGAAGACAGACGCTGTAAGCGTGGTACGATGCAAACCGCTTGGTGGTGGGAGGATTCCTTTGGATGATACGAAATCACGTTTCGGCGACATGTGTATAAAGAGCCAACCCCAGGGACGGACGTGGACACACGGCGTTTGCAGAGGGCTTCCCGCCGATGTGCTCAGGACCTGGCCCGCGCCAGACATGGGGCTCCAAGCTCGTGGGGAGGCGTGAGCAGAGTGTCCTGTTCTGGTTTTGAGTTTACCATCTCGACTCAGAGCACAGTGGGCGTGAAGGGAACCAGGTCAAAATTCATACAAATTCTGTCTGAAATAGAGCAGTAGTATTTGCTCAGAAAAGTCCCTAAAGTAACTTCTATCTAGTGATACTCAATGAAGAAATCAAAGGAAAAAAAAATGTCAAGGGCACTGACAGTTTAACCCTATTTTCCTCCTAAGATATTTAAGGGATTAAAATATACAAACTGTGCAAAAGCACATGAGCTGTGCTGGTGTGTGATGTGGCTATGAAGCCTGAAGCCATTCAAGTAATGACAGCGTGAACGCGAGACGCCCGGAGGGCTGCCGTGTAGCTCAGGCCCTTGGAAGGCAGGCTCGTGGTGGGGAAACCAGACGGGGGCAAACCCACCGGCCCGCTGGAGCCTCTGCCTGGCCCAGGTGTGCGTTCAGGGCTGTGCTGGCGAGCCTGCCCGTCTCTCCGCCACTCCGCCAGGCTGTGACTCCTGCCTCTACCACCCGGGAAGGCTTCGCGGAAGGTCTGAGGTGCCACGTCCCGGCTCCCTCCCACTCTGCCCCTCATGCGCCTGAGCTCTCTGCTGTGGCACTCACTGCAGCCCACACACATGCCCAGGGATCTGCTTACAAGTCACCTTCCACACCGGAATCTGCAGAGCTTCTAGAACCTTCTTGCCTGATGTCCTGGAG